TATTGTTATCAATTATTGGCGTTTTCAGTTTATGTAACTTCATATTATATTATAATCTCGTCACTTCTATTATTGATTTTTTTTTACTGATTTCGGTTTTTAATAATAAATAATAATAAATAAAAACAAAAAATGACATAATTTTTACAGAAACGTTAAAATAGGGCCTTAAAGAGCCTTTATAAGTTCGACATTAGTACAGCATTGATGCTATACTCCAATGCGCATGCGCTAAAAGGGGGCTCATCTAACAATACTGTGCAACCCTATGGTGCGTTCCGTATCGCGCATGATGTGCATGATGCATCCATTGTCCTTGTTTAACATTTGGTGAGCTACAAGGATAAACGACGCATTATGCGCATTATGCGAGGAACGGAACGCACCCCTAGAGGACTTGTGTCGACATGTGACGTCATCAAAATGGAAGCAAAGCACCCTATCTGTCTTGTTTGTTGCTAAATACGGCTGAATACGGTTGCGAGTGCAAAAAGAAAAAGAAAAAATATTTAGAAACGATTGGGAAATTTACTTTACAAGTTACTTGTAAGTTATTTTTTATTTAAGTGCAATAAGTTCGTATATATTTTATTTTTTATATTATATTTTATTTATTATAGTTTATATTATATTTTATATAATTATATCTGTACATAAGATTTTAGTCAGCAAAATGTTCATAATTTGTTTACATAAAAATTGTTGATAAATTTGAAAATTTCAGTAAATTGGCATCGATTATGTTTGCATTAAAGTTTGATGTATTTTGCTGACAATTTAAAACTCGTTGACATAACGAGCAAATTATCGACAAAAACCAAACAAAAGTTGATTCTTATCTTCAATTTGCTATTAGATTAGCAAAAATAAGCTTAATACGGTTTTTATCCATAATTTTTTCTCGGCAAATTTTGTTGTATACCTACATGCTTGTACCATTTTATAGATATTATATGAATATAACAGAATTGCATCAAATAAAAGGTATCTTTTTGTTACTAAAAATTGTAGCAAGCATTTAACAAAAGAAGGAAGGCCCATAAAAACCGATTTCTTCCTCCAAATTTTGTCCATACTCACGAAAATCTATATTTTGAGGTCAATTACATTCACTTCGAGTGATTCCAGCTTAAACGGAGCGATGGAGTTGCCATATTTATTTGGAAATCAATATTTTGAATTTTAAATGTATTTTTATGTTTTATTTGTCATCTTCCAATTCATCTGTTTCCGAACAAAAAGCTGCATCCATTTCATATTCTGGATTCTACTTCAATGTTCGTGGGCCATAATAATGAGATGCAAATAAATACACTACTCGAAAAATCCACAAAAGAGAAGAAATTCGATAATTCGAGATTTGAGAACTGTAATCTCAAAATGACATTATATGGCACGATAAACCCATAAATAAATGACCTAGAAAACATAAAGTATTCAAAAGAGAGACATAAAACGTCTTTGGCGTTTAAAAGACGCTTTATGTCTCAATGTGTTTGGGGAGCTTCTGGACAACTATATGAGTTTTTAAAAAGAAATATATATTGCAAAATATTCACACAAATAGTATTTTTGTAGTATCAAGTGCACGTGTGCACTTATTTGCTAATAGTTTATACACAAAGGCAAATATTGATCCTTTCTGGGAGATTTATTGGCATGTATAGTTTAACTTAAAAACGTCGGCACCAAATGCATAAAGAATTAGGAAAACTGCCATTCCAGAATAATTTAAATTATTTTCCAATACGATAATCAAAATATTGATTTCCAAATAAATATGGCAACCTCCATCGCTCGGTTTAAGCTGGAATCACTCGAGTTGAATGCAATTGACCTCAAAATATAGATTTTCGTGAGGTTAGACAAAATTCGGAGGGGCCGAAATCAGCCCTTATGGACTCTCGCCTTCTTTATTTTCAACACATTCGGCTTACTTGGAAAATAATAATAACCCAAGGGATACACTAGGTCAACAAAAAATCAAAATGACTTTATTTTGATTCTTAACGTCAATAAACAGTTAAATTTTCTATTAAAAAATTATCATTTTGACGTCAAAATAAAGTCATTTTAATCTTCTTTTGGCTTGATGTATTCCTTGAGGAATCATTAACATGTACGTTAAATGTTATGCTGATCCCTCTGGACCAGCGTTGACCTTTTTGTTTAATCCTGTGTTTTGTTTGTCCCTGCGTATCGAGGATTCCTAAAGGACGTTTAGGTCTTTTGAGGAATTTAAAATAGAAGCACGTACTTCTCCAGTTGTCTGAATGGCATTTTGTGGTGTAAACGGAAAGTAAACAGAATAGGGGCTCGGCACTTTCCAGAATTTAACAAGTTTTACAGATATACAAGTAGTTACACTTCTAACACTTCTAACACTTCTAACAATGTTCCGTTTATTGGGTGCTTTTTATTTGATGACAAGTCGATACAAATAAACACAAGTGTCGTTCTATCTTTGTCACTCTCTGAATGTCAACAAGGATAGAACGACGCTTGTATCGACTTGTGTTATCAAATGGAAAGTACCCATTGTCAACTGCTCACAAAATATCCACAAGATGTTTTCTTAGAATCATTGTGGTTTATTTTATTATTATACCCATGAACTCTATTGTAATAATCCTACCCTGTAGGTAGTCCGACATGAATTATCTACAGTTTTATTGACTGACAAAACATCCATAATAAATATCCTATTAGATGTCTATTAGGATATATTATATTATTTTTGTATGGAAGAGAATCATGTTGAAATGTATGGAAAACATTCCTAGAAAATACACTTTATTATAATTATTATTTATATTTTACACTTGCTCGCGCGACATTATTTTATAAATAGCTTATTTATACACTTGGCAATGAAGCAGTTTGTACCGATATTAATATTAAGATACACATCACTATATTTATATTATGGCAGCAAAGTATCGCGTTCCGGAATTCTTAATTATTCGGTATACGTGCTGTGATAGTGCCTCATTAGCTACATGCATATACATTACATAGGACATTATCCCCAAAAGTATCTGCATACTTGATGTTAATCAAAATCTCACAAAGAAACTTGGAACCTTAAAATTTCGAGATTATATCAACCAAGATTATATTAAGACTTAACACATTACGTGTGAAAAAAATAAATTAGATTCATTTCTAACGATAGAGTACTCTAACAAAAATTCATTTATATGTACATGTCAATAGTTGGCTTGAATTATATATTTATATAAATATTAATATAGAAAATAAATTAATAAATTATACGTGTGCGAGAGGAGATACTTATTCAAATTTACTCATTCCTATATGATTACACAACGCACGAAATCAATACTTTATTGTTTGTACGTGCCTCTCTTCGTGATCCTGTACAAACAGTTGTATCGTATATACATGCAGTTATATGGCTAGATCAAAGTATTCTCACGCTGTACATAGAAAACAACGAAATACTTAAAACAACGATCGTTATATATTTACAACGAGCGTCATACATTTTACAATGCCGACGACTAGCCAAACTTTAGACTTTTAACAATTTCTCGTGTTCGGAAATTAGCAATAATTGTAATTTCGGATTTGTATTGTAATTAAACAGTATTTTTTCTTACGCAATGAGTTTAGACAACTACGGACTGAACAAAGGTACAATTAACTTCAGTAACGAGGACAAGTCGACTTTCCTTCGCTCTTTAAGACAGAGTTCTAACTTTACTTCAACTTAATTTGTTAGAGAATCTGTGCTCGGTGGAAAAAGGGCCGTGTACGGACCATCGAGAACAATTATAATTGTACAACTGCACACAGTGATTATAAAACTACATGGGATGTACGGTGTCTGTGTTCTGCCCTGATATCCTCGTGAGGGGCTCTTCGTCGAGGTCGTTGGAGATTTGATTCCAATGTTCGTCTTCCTCATTCTCCTCGTCGTGCAACGAATCTTTCCTGAAATAAAAAAATTTCTTTAATTTTAAAAAGTGATATTTAAATCAAAGAAATAACGTTCAAATCAAAGAAATGTTTTCTTTAACCGTGTAACAAAGAATTTATTTATTTGAATCGAAGAAACCTTTCTCTGGATGTTTGAGAAACACTTTAATTGAAGTGAGGACTAATCTAATTATTTAAATTCTCTTTCTCATGAAAATTCCTGTGAGCTACATCGGGTAAAATTTTGGGAATTTTTCAAAGTTAATCAATTTTTTAGATCTAATCGAAGAATCTCAGAGACGATTGTGTATAATATTAAGAATTATATTACTAACTGATACTTGTTGGATGGCAGGAATAAAGATTTTGGGCAGTCCTTAAAATAGGGCCAGCACTCGCCGTGAAATTTCCCACGGTTTTCTGCCTCGACGTATTCCTTGAGGAGGTTTGCAAACGGCGATCGGCTAGCGCTAAAAACAAAATGTCTGGATTGAATTCAACATTATTTTATGTGACTCTAAAATGTGCTTATTACGACTATTTACTTTCTAAATTATTTGGAGTAAAATCTCAGTCTAAATTACTCTAAACAATAAAAATTGTCCTGAAAAAAAATTAAGGAAATTTTCAATTATTTTTAAGAGTAAAATTTCATTCTTCACAGAATGACAATAATTCACTTTAAAAGTTTTAGAGTAGACTTTACCCCGCAAACACAATATAGCAAGATTCCACCCTGAGACCTCAAAATCATACCTTATTTTGGAACTCGATTACTAAAAAATTATACATAATACAAAAAAATCTTTATTGTAGGAGTCAACGCTGGATATATTAAGCGATAACTTTATTGTGGTTTGAGTTGCTCATCACCACTCAGCTGTGAAACTGATTGAATATGGGTCTCACTTCATGATCAGCCATGGCATTGCATGCAATAAGTTTGGAGATATTATTTTGCGATGCAATATCTCTTCGCAGTGCGTTTGATGGATGGATGGAATTGCTGAAGATGACTCGAATTTGAGTTGAAGCGTTCAAGGGTGATATGTAGATTAAATAATATATTTGATCTTTGTAAAAGTTATCGCTTAATATATCCACAGTTCTGATGAACCACTCGTCCGTGGCGGACGCGCCTCGTCTCGGGTGTTATTCCTTTGTATATTTTTGAGAGTGTTGCCGATTTTGACCGAGCATTGCATCATACATAATCATCCCGCGATCTTGGACGACCCGTTCTGTCGTCCTGACGCGCGTCCTTGCGGCGTGACGACGTCGTATGACGTGGCGCCCGGTGTCCGAGCGGGCTTCGCCATTTTCGCGAGTGTTGCATTTTTTATATACGGAAAACAAACATAGACGTGATCTGGCCGTATCGACTTCCTATTTGTTTTTTTGGAGGCGGGAGCCATAATTAAAGAAGAAGCTTAATATATCCAGCGTTGACTCCGATAGCCTTTATATTAGAGTGAAATTATTATTTTTCTTTGTTAATTAAAGGAGTTCATAACCACTTATTGTGGCTCGATTTGTGTCTTTGTTAATTATAAAAATACTGTAAGTCACAAATAGTCACAAATGAAGTGGACTGCAAGGTTCACGAAACGTTGGCATTCCAAGAATGGATCCGGACACAGAGAAAACCCGCAAAACGCATAATCTTTATATAAAACATATTTCTTTTTACAGTGTACTCTACTCTTCAGAGCCTACTGTGAGAACCTTTATTGCAGTTTTATGAACCAGACTACTTACGTAAAGAACAGCTTCAGCATCTCGCCGATAAGCCCAAAGTTATTCAAATGATGTCCTTGGACTTCGCAAATTGCTCTCAATAGGCACGCCTTCCCGTTCATTCCCAGCGTGGACAGCATATCTTCGGCAGTGACATAGAGTAGGGCTCGCTCGCCGCCGTGGAACGCATTTTTTGGCACATCTGTTACGTCTCGCTTGTGTAATCTACGCTTGATAAATGCTGCGATGAAGTCAGCCATCATCATGCCGGCTTGCCGGCTCTTCAGTTTCCTGTCGAAACTCGGCGGCAGAGCGCCGTATGGGTTTTCATTATCCGTCAGGCCTAGCTTGTCAAAATCGACTGGGAAAAAGACACATAATTCTAGCATCACAATTTTCTTTAAGTTAAGGGGGGTACCATCTTTGAGGCTTAAAAATAATACTTAAAAAAAAATAATACTTAAAAAAAAATTTGACAATTTTTTGCAGTAAATTAATAAAGTCAATCAAAAATCGTTTTGAAGGGCTTTAATATATAAAGTTTTGAGAGTACAAAAAATTTTTTTTTTATTTTTATGTCACAAGATAGTGGCGTTACAATAGAACTCCTTTTTCGATGAGTGTATAAACAGTATGCACGAAATTTGGTACACCATTAGATCTGGAACAAAAATCCAAAGAATTTCATTTTCTACATACTTAAAGCTACAGAAGTACGTCGGACTTTTTCAAAATATTAATTTTTGTAAAAATGGTCAATGTTTGAAAAAAAATTACGATTTTCGACCAAAAATTTCCATCTTTAAACGTTAATAACAAAAAAGTTTTTCAATATATCGCAAAAATTCTACTTGCACATCGTTTATTCATCGAAAAAGAAGGTTCAATGGTTCTACTTTAACGCCGTCATTTTGTGAGATGAATAAATTAAGAAGAAGAAGACGTCGATTCCATTGTCATTTCTCACTGGGATCCATATAGTGGATGGACTTACTCGTGAACGGCAAGCTGATAGTCATATTGCTGAGGAAGCCATAAGGAGGATGCCGAACGAAGGGCAACGCCAATGTTGGCGTGATTGTCATGACGGTGCCAGGTGGCAACGCGATCCGTCCATCGTTCGTGAACCATAAGACCCTCTTCTGCCTGTGATGCGGTCTCTGATGAGAAGATTCGCTCTCGTGAACGGTATCGCTAAATGTACATGATGACTCTCTCAGCACAGCCAGACCGAGCAGCAGCAGCAGAAGACATCTTCTTTGAGACATTCTGTGCTGTTCGAGTTGCTGTAACGAGATACCTATTAGGTGTGTACACTGTGTGTGTGTGTGTGTGTGTGTGTGTCACATATATAAATTCTATTTTTATTAATATAATATAAAGTCTATTTTTATCAATACATTGAAAAAAGAAGTGTTTAATTTTAAGATATTAAAGTGTTTTATTGTCTCCGTTTTTTAAACACTTGATATTTTGTCTATTGAAAAAGTTTAAAACTAAAATATCTTTAAGTGTTTAAAAAATGGGGACAAGAATAAAATACATTTCTTTTTACAGTGTATATAATAGATTAATTTTTATTTTGATTTCAGGTTTTGACTATTCATTATGGATCTTTATATTGATGATATCAAAAGCAAAAAAATATGTTATAAAAATTCTTGCAAAAAAATTTCTTACTCCCGCGTGCATCTCTCGGAGAAGTGAATAGATTCACCGTCAAAAGAGGGGAAGCTAAATACTCGGCTAAATAAATACCAAGAGGCGGCATCGACTATGGGCCGTAGATCAAATTAATCGTTTTACTTGCGAATGAAACCTGCAAAGTGGCGTATAATAATTCTCATATCTCTCGATGGCCCAGCGGTACTTCAAGTAGGACGACAGACCTCGTGAAATTATTTGCGATAAATCCCACGACGGGATATGTGCCTGTATTATGTATCGCAGTCATGAGACTTACGGTACCTGCGGTGTGTTTACTTCGAGTCGGGTGTTAAGGAAAAACTTTTCTGTGACAGGTATCGCCGATGGATTTTGTCGTCTACCTTGCTATCGTCGCCATCGTCAGTGACTTACATCCTGTTCGCGCAAGAACGGACGAGGCACGCGCGAGGGAATTTTATTCCAATTGATTATTTTGGGACGAGTAGTGTGCCCCGGCAAGGGAATTTTATTCCAATTGATTATTTTAGGACGAGTAGTGTGCCTCGGGCTGTCCAATTCTATCAATTAGAAACTTAATTTCGCTACATTGGATACTGGCTGTATCGTGGCTTGTCGTCGCGGGAGCCATTAACGAGGAAGAAGAAGAAGAAGAAGAAACTTTAATTTGTGGGTAAGTAGGATAGAGCGCCTCTTAGGGAGATAACTGTGCTCCCTCGTCGCGCAATAACGCTAAACGTTCATTTATCATGTCGCATGTTGCTGAAAATCCGCATCTAAGAATTATTTGTCAAGGCGCGTCGTAAATTAATAATAAAGTTGGAGTGTCTTCGGGAAGCCGAGGCTTGGAAATCCGAGGAAATAGAATCCGGAGAAAATTCCGCGCTCGCGGTATTTTCGCTTCATTATTCATACTATTACGTTTCTATTACGTGATTAGCACTTGAGAATATCAAGCGCACATACACGTGGCGAGATTACGTGGGGTACTGCTTTAATTGCGACGAACGCATCGTAGAACGTATGTCGATTGTTATCGCGAGCTTCGTGTCGGCACGCATTTCTTCTTCCCTTTACATCGAACTGCGTGACAACGCGCAATGGCACGTCGTCGCCGTCGTCTTACCGGTCATTACGGTTACCGGGACATTACGTGTGTGTGTCGAGTTTATTAGGCTTTGGCCATCCGACCGACCTCCCTATCGGGGAGCCTCCCCGTATGTAACAGTATATAAACTGCAAAACAACATGATTAAGGGGAATCAGGTGTGCCCTAGAAAAATGTAAGTCGCACGCGCGTTTGCCCGTATACTGTCCGCGTATCTCATTGCATCGCGTTTGTTTTTTTTCTTCAGAAGCGGGAGACATTGCTCGTCTCGCGGATCCCTATTTGATTTATCCTACTCTCTTTGATATACATATATTTGAAACCATACTTTCTAAAATTTTTTTTTAGAGTGAATATTACTCTGAAGAATGGAATTTCATTCTTAAAGATTGAAAATTGAGCCATTCTTTTTTAAGACTAGTTCAATTTTCACTTTTTAGAGTGAGATGCCACTTTAAACAATTTAGAAAGTACATTATTATTATTAATAATATTATAGCAGCTAACTAAATATAATTGTAATAACATGAAGTCGTAGTCACAAAAACTTTTCTCAGTGTAACAGAGTTTGCAATGTTCTGTTAAATATCGAAAGAGTAATGATTTTTTTTTTATTTGTAGAAATGATAAAATGCATTCATCATATTAACGCATTGTTCCATTAGTTAATAAAGTCTGTACATTAGATCAATAATCGAATTCGTTATGTATTTAAAAAAATGTTTTAAGGAGGAACGTTAGGATAATATTTAATTGTGTCAATGTACATATTTATTGAACAATGAATTCTAATAATAGTTTTATAACTCATATTCATCCTTTTATAAAGCCTAAATCATTATGAGAATAAAATTGTTAACTGGACAAATTTTAATGAATTTTTTATTGTATTTATTACGTACATTTTTGGTTCAGTGTGTAAATCAATCCATTTCTGATTAGTTTCAAAGTAAATGACATCTAAAAGTAATTATACACAGAAAAAAAAACTATTCTTAAATCAACCATAATATATTCATATATAAGCAAAAATATTGTAATCTTGTTTTAAAAATTTTAGTCTTGATATAAGATTTATTTGTATTGATATAAGATTTTTAATTGCAAGTCTTGAATTAAGTGCAAAGTAATACTTGCATCAAAATAAATTTAATCAAATCAAGATTATAATATTTTTGCTTATATATGAATATAATATGGTTGATTTAAGAATAGTTTTTTTTTCTGTGTTTAACGTTTGCATCTAGCAAATAATAAACTAAATTTCAGTCAAATTTAATACATTTTCTTAAGTGAATTATTTAAATTCATTGTTTTTGTTAAATTAATGAATATAGGAGCAGTGGCAACCTATAGAAATGATTAAAAGTAACTTAAATTGAATATAATTTGACGTTATAAATTTAACAGTGTTTAATTAATCATCCTCTCTAAAAAAAAAAGAGATAAAAGAATAACGTTTCCGTGCATCTTGATATTCGTCTCTCTTATCATTCTCGCTAAATCAGCGGAAATGAAAGAAACATTGACTCGATCTAAATTAGCTGGCCCACATTGTTTAATATAATCCGATGGATTATATTAAAGTTCGGCGAGCGGAAGAGAGTCGGGCTAACCGCTAAGCGCATCGTGCGGAATACGAAATACGATTGACCCCCATATTTCGATATGTGCGTCGTGTCGGCTGATCGGACGACGCGTCTTAAATTAAACCACCCGGGTAATCAGGTACCGGTACCTGATATCGGCCGCGTGCTTTTGACGAGGCACCGTTAACTACATTGCTCGTAAAAAACCAGGTCAATTTTAAGATCTGGTTCCTGCAGACAGTCCGAGAGGCGATCGTATTCGCGATCGGGTGTAACTCTTTTTCGGGGTGTTGCAACAAGATTCGGTAATAATATTAGCCGACCGCCAAGTACTAATAATATGGAATCAAGAAGTCAATAATTGGTTAGGGAAATGCTCCTGTGAACGGAATCCTTATTATCAGTCTTTGATGTTTTACAATAAGAATTACCTTTCTAAAAGATACACATTTATAGGAAGTTTTATCGCTACACTAGGAAAAGAATCTATAGTCGCATTTAATTGATATTCTGATTTGTCTATTTTTAATCAGAATTCCAATTAACGCAACCAGACTCTTTGAATTGTGATTATTTCAATTAAAATTATAATTTATATTCTGATTGAAATAACTATACTTCTGATTGATATGATCAGAATTTTCTGGTTTGTCCATTTTCAATCAGGATTTTTTTTTCAATTTATTATGCAATAATTGAATGTCAATTTTATCACGTCTTTTTTGTCAACTTTTCTCATACGAACCGAAAATTTTTATGTTTTTCTGAAAGACGTACACTGAATATAATAAATTCTATCACTATTACGCAATAATTGCATATTCCTTAATTTTATTGAACAAGATCAATATTCATCCTTCGCATTTAATTCGAAAAGCTCTCCCTTGATTGAACTTCTTAGGTCTAACATCTAAAATTAGTTCACAATCGAATTGCAGCAAGCCGATTTCAACGATAACGTAATACGTAACAGTTTCGCATCAAACGCAGTGGCAACCGAGACGCAGTGCACCTGATCTTATATGCAATGTAGAGATGAGCATTTTATGTTCCTTCACATCAAAATGCAGCAAATTCCTGACCTAGTGCCTTCTATACTCGCACTTAACGGTATAGTATCGTTATAATGCACTGTACTTTAAAGAATCGCGCTCTCGATGACTTTCGCGAGGCAAAAAAGGAAAGAGAGATGCGGAAGGAGTAGTTATTCCAAAACGCAATGACGTGAAAGAACGGCGTTTGGTTTATTGAACACGATGTTCCGGATGTCCTCGCATCGTTGATAATTATAATCGAGGCATTAGCGGATTCAGAAATTTATCAAGAGGGAAGTCGAGTCACACTGGCGCGCCGGAAGCGAAATTTTTTAAAAATCAAATATGAAAAAATAGTATAATTTAAATTATTAGTGGTATTACATTGAATATGTATTATTTAAATGTATAATTCTTAAACCGTTTTATTTAAAATTATATTAGTATGAAAAAAAGAATAATATAATAGAATATATGTAATATGTATTTTTTATCTATAGGAGTTTCTTAAATTAAAAAATATTTTTGGAATAAAAGATGACTTAAGCATTTCAAAAATATGAAAATATATATAACATAAATATATATAAAATAAAAAATACATATAACATAAATATTAAAAAAGAACTCCAAGGGGGAATCGTGGACTTCCCCTGTGGATTCGCCAGTGAATAGAGATGATTTGTAATTTGACCTTCGTGTTTCGCGATCGAACATCTTAATCGCAACTATATAACGCTGTGTGCGTGGCATTACGCTGTCCGCAGAATTAATTTACGGTGTGCGTAGCCACGTGTGTCGGAGAGTAATTACTGCGCGGTCGTAATCAGCTACTCTTTAAGTGTAAACGACACGTGCGGTTGTTTTGCAATATGGGCAATTATGTCGTACAGTAGTAATTATTATAGAATGTAATATTGTAGAAAAAGAACGTATTGCTGTAATAATAAAAGATATGTTACGAAATTAACAGGACTTTAATCACGACAACCTACCGATACCACCTTATCGTATCAAATATCGGTAATGATATAATCTTTTTTTCAAGTAGCGATATAAGGAAAGATAAATAAGGCGAGGTAGATTTGAAAAATTTATATGTCGTTTATCTCGATAGAAGTTTGTTCTCTGTGATTTTGCCAAGGAAATGAATTTTAAAATATTATTTAATTAAATTTAATTTTGTTAATTTATCGAGAAACAAAAATAAATTTAATTATTAATAATACAATATTAGAAAATCATTAGTCTGAAAATTTATGATTGCGAGACGTAACGCTCATTATGATTAATGTGTAACTATTATTAACACGTATGGAGTAATAATCCTATGATCCACGTATATTATTTGAATATGTGTTGATTGCGCATTCATGTGAAAGCGAATGTGGTGATCCGTATACACACACACGGAAAGAATTTTTTCTTAGAGTTTACCAAAAATTGATTTTACAAATTGGGACATTCATTTTTTTTTAAACTTCTGGGCGGGGGGTCCGCTTCACAGAGAATGTCCCAATTATAAAAAATAGTAACGTAAGAAAATAATCTAGAAAAAGTTAATCGGCAGAATTAAAAGTATCGAACACGGTCATTATTACCCGTTCCTTTTTTAAATTAATATTGTATTTTTTGTACAATAGAATTCTGTTTAAGTAATTATGGCCTTCATATTGAAATGATGAACTATTTGGTTTTATATCATTTTTTTATTTTCATACTAATTTATTTTTTTTTTTTAATGAGTAAGAAACATTAGTAGTGTTAATTCTAGTGTTAATTTGAAAATTTTTTTCGACAGAAAAGTTAATAGCGGATCCGCATCTCTATGCATGATGATAAAACGAGGACGACCGATGAAGTCACCGGCCCGAATGGGGAACCGACAGGAACCGATTTATATTCGGGCGCCTGGATTCGAGACTCGAAACCAGTCGAGTGAGTCCCAATCAGATGAGTAAACTTATGAAAAATCCGGATTTTCTGAGATTCGCGAACCGCCGCGATGTGGCGAGGTCGCGATCTTGACTTTATAATACGAGCCTCCGATATACACATGTACCGTTCATACGAGGTCGAGAGTGGAATAAAGTAATGTTGTACTCGACGTCGAGGAGGTCTAGGCGCTAACAGCTTAATTATGTGCGATTAATTACAGGATAGATCCATGCAAGACCTTCTGATTTTCCGCCGGAAGTATGCTGTTACCGCCGGAAGTATGCTGCATATTCCGCCGGAAGTATGTTGCATATTGCGCCGGAAGTATGCTGCACGCGTTCCCAGCGGTCCCTCCCAACGGCCAGCGCAGGACAGGTTTTAGTGGATGCGAGTCCTATATAACCCCGGGATCTCCCCCGGGATCCCGGGGTATGCGTAGGCATTTCCCCTCCGTAATAAAAAAAAAAGACCTGATTTTATCAATACGTCTTTTCTAAGTGAACCGATATATCATTTCACTCATGTGTTTATTGACACACTAATTTTCCGTTAATTTTGCTTAGAGAATTAATGAAAAACATTTTATGATTTTAATCCTCCGGAACTACGCTAAAATCTGTAACATAATTAGGACCATTTTTGTAATATATGTGCTAGTATTCATAGTCGATTCTTATATTTAAAATTGTTTTAAGTGCAGTCTTAAGATATTATGAACCAATCAGAGGACCTCATCTTAAAACATTATTTAAAATAAAAACGAATTATGAATACCGACCATGATTATCTAAATTAAATTTCTCAAGAAATTTATGAATAAATTTCATTGATGAATCTTTTAGTAACCTTTAGTGTTTAAATAACTATATACTATGAAAATGAGTCTTACTATGCTGGATCTGAAAGACCAGTTTAATTAAAAGGTTTTAATTAATTCAAGGAATAAAATGACATAACTCGTATAAAAAAGAATTAATATTAAATTTTAATAAGAACAATTTTGCAGCTAACATAATAAAAATTATAACAAAGAAAACTGAATTGTTTGATATTTTGACAAAGATATTTAGGATACAGCGGGAAAATTTGGATAATAGTAAGCGTTTGCAAGAATTTAAAAAAAAAATTTGGGACGCCATGTTTTATATTTAGGATTAGTAGCAAAGAAAATACTGTAGTCTACATATTTATGTAGGTTTGAAAAGATATCTTTGTACCTGGGGGGGGGGAGGGGGGGGGAAGTCTGTGGAGAGTTTTATATTAAGCAAGATAGGTAGAGAATTTCGGTTGTTATTGCAGTTTATAAAAATATATCCTGCTTTCTTAAGCTTTTATGAAATCAACGTAGAAAGTATGTAAACAGGGCCAAATTATGAATAAGTTCAAGTATTTTAATATAAAGTTTGATTTTTGTTATAATTTTAATATTCATTTTTAATGTTATTCAAATTATCCTTTAAGATATCCAAATTGCCCCTCAAAATTGAGCTTCATTAAAATTGTAAGAGGAAATCGGAAATGGCATTACGCCTTAAGGTTTAAAGATTAATTTTTTATACTTTGGGTAAATATTCCTCAAACATGTGAGTTTCCTGCTACATATTTTAAGTAACGATATAATAATTATTTTTCGCGAAATTGTTTAAAATGTTTGAAATTATTTAAATTACCTCGCTGTACCCTACAATTGAATGGATACAGGCCCACCGTCAGTACCAGAGGATTAATAAATTTCCACTATCGCAGCACGATCTCAATTAATCTCAATTAATTCAGTCATCAGATTTCAAGCATCAGATTTTACTGCAATATAATTTTTATTCATCTATCCGTGCGGTATCAAAAATAAAAAGAGATTATGCCGCGTGCAGTCGTTCAATCTTCCACGTGCGCGGTCGACAACGTGGTAGCGTGAAATCAAGTCTTTGGCGTTGCCTCGCTTTCAGAAAATATGCGCTGCGCACTGTGAAAATGCACACGCAACCGTTATGCCACATCCACCATGTATAACCATGTGGACTGGTCGATCAGTAATCATAAGCTTCGCGTATTCACTACACGTGCTTAACCACGGAGATTAACTCGTTCGCTTACTCCAGCAAACCGGCGCTCGTCCCGCGATCCACCTGACCGTCATCACGGCAACGCTTTTTCGAATGGCAATACGGAGAAAAAAACTGAGGCGGTGACGACGCCGGGAAAGAAGTCCGACAGGTGACATTGAAAGAAAGAGGTTTTGACGCTCGATTAAGCTTGACATCACCGAGGAAGGGAAGAAAGGCACTTCTGCGGCCACTTGTTGCTGACATAAAAAGAATTACGCTATAGGAACGTTCGTTCAGCTTCGTGAGAATAAAAATAAAACCGTTCAAATAATACTTCTATCTCGATGCAAAACAATAACTCTTATAAATTTTCAGTGATTAACCCTTATTACACACGATTCGGTTATTCATATCCTGCACATTTCTTTTCTTTCAAATATTAGCTATAGGAGCACTTGGCTAAATAATGATCTCTATCTTTTCCTTTTTTTAAATGTACAATTTTATAAATATTTTCTGAAGATGTTAAAGTTTATATGTAAGAATTATACTTAATAATTTATATATATTTTGTATTCACTATAGTATATTCACTATAACATATATATTATAATATATTGTAGTATATATTTTACATAAAGTGATGAAAATTAGTCCGGGACATGAACGATCCATCGTGTGTAGTAAAGGATTGGAACATCGCGCTTACTAAAGAACTTATGATATTAGATAGCATGCGATTTATGCATATTTAATGAATAAAAGAGATTTTTAAATTAGAGAAAAAAATACATCGCTGATAAAAATTTTAAATCTCGAGGTGTTAATTCGAATATCAACCCAGTCGACACTAATTAAAAGTAACATAAAATCTACGTTAAAATTTCGTACTCGACAATGTAACTTATGTAATATCATGTGTTATATCATATTTATATCGATGCTGTTTCTACCAATGTAATTTAAATTCAGTCCAATTTACTCTTCATCATTTCTTAGAACTAGAAAAAGATACCTAAAGAGTTAATTATATCGTGATTAAAATTATAACTATATTAATAGAAACGGACACGAGTGTGAAATTATATATAACATAGATGTTATTTTTAATTCACGTCGACTGGGAAGATAGCCACGACCTAAGCTAACTCAACTAACGTAAACCACGCGAGTACCATATCTCACCTTTAATTCAGCCGCAATACTTGGCGGACGAATCCACCGGTGGGACGATATGTAGGGTAATCTTGACACACACTGATTAACAGAGCTGATTAAAGAGAGCCGCGGCGCGGCGCACCGCAATCGCGCTCTGCCGACGCGGTGTGCTTCCTCGTGTGGCCGGTGATCGTATCGATGAAATAACTTAATTTACACGGGCATACCTCCTTCTGTCCCGCCCGGTTTCGGGCGTGAAGAAAGGAAGAAAGAAGAGTACACGCGCGTACACGCGCGTACACGCGTGAGCACGTACACCTTATCCGGCGCGCATTGTCGGCCGTGAAAAATAGAACGACGGCGAGAAGGAGGCGAGCTGGGGCGATCCAGTTCTCTGCGCGTCGTTAACGAACACCCGTTTCCTATCTCGCTATCCGGAGAACGGCCGAGCGGATATCGGCGCACACGCTCCTTCTGACCGCGGCTCGCGCTCTATCATCGCAAATCGCCCGTTGAGCCTTATCCGCGACTCTTCATCTCGGCGGCACTGATGAACGACGGTATCCTCGCGTCCTTGCAGCGGGGTGTCGGTTGAAGAGCTCGATATCGCATCGAATACTTCGTGGCTAAATGCAACGTGGAGCGTTCTGGAATTTTTTTTCGTTATGATTTTTGCCGCAAATTAAATCGTACGCGAGTGAGTTTGAATATTTCTCCCTTGAAGACACCCCGTGCCACCTTTTAAAGATTCTATCCGTGTGTCTCGTGTCTCTACGTCTCTATCAGTTTCAACGGAATTTCTTTCAATGAAGTATGATCGATAGAACTCTTGGAAGTTTAAAGTAATCGGTGTTGCCGGACGCTGTTGATTTGGAGGCGGGTCCTTATCGATCACTGTGGTTTCCTATCGCGAGCACGATATGTCAAATGATTGTGACGCGCGCTGAATTCGGTTCCGTGCTCTCGCTCGCTCGTCGAGAGTTAGCCGAGAATGATCAGCGACTCGCGCTCGCCGACTTTCAGACTGATCGCACGCGCGGCCCTCATCGTCGATCTCTGGCACGAGACTACGCGTCTCCCTCCTCGAATTACGTGCTGGGATTCACCCTCCTCGCCGAGCCCTCGTTGATCATTTCGTGCGGTGGGGCCATGCGTTGCCATTCAAGAATACACCTCATCCAATTTTCGGTCGAGGGGGAACAAGAGTCACAGGATATTGGGAACTTGACACTTTGACTGCCCCGATTTTTTCAATTGATTGCCTGTCACCCTGGGTCTGTTTTTTTGTGGCTGAACTAGTGTACACTTTTAGAACTTAGCTAGATAGGTATATGTTTGATATTTGGAAATCGCGAAAGCGAGAAAGTTTTAGCGCAGTTTAATGCAGGAATAAAAAACAGATCTATAACTTAATTGACTTGACTTTTATAAAATAAATATAAATTGATGTAAAATTTAAAATTTCATTACATTTAAAGGATTATGTTCGATCAAGGCAAGTTTATAAAGCAATGTGAAAAGACATGAAAAAAGTACCCTGGAATCGCCAGGCCTCCGAAAAAAGTACCCTGGCGTCGCCAGGCTCCGCCAGAGCTCGACTATACTACACTGCTTACGATCTCTATCGTGATTGGCCAATTCCCTTTTAATTTTTTTTAGTTTTTTGTGTGCCTTGCTCAAAAGGCGTGTACAATAAGATTTTAAGGTCCTAAGCACGAATGGTCGTAAATCGTGTCAGAGTCGTAAGTTGATCAAAATGTGTGTTGACTACGATTTATTTACCACCATCTTTGTGCAATCCCTGAAATCGTACATTGAATTTTTTGCGCTGATAGTTTTGCGTTTTAGCTCCGGAGCTCAAATTGGACACGCCTGGATTAATCAACTAAGATTCGCCTTAACCAAATATGATTCTTTATTTTATTGTACCAAACATGTTTCTTGATTTTTTTCATTTAATATTGTTAAAATTTCATGCCTTTTAAAATATTTATAAAATGTATATGTATTCATATTAATACAAACGGCGCCTTGGAATTACATACGTAGATGTGTACATAATTAAATACACGTGGCAGTGTTGCAGAAATATAATTAAAGAAATGCATGCCAACGATTAACGCAAAATAAAAACAGAGAAAAATCATAGATTTCTAACGTATACTTATTTTATTTTATGAGTGAATTGAAAATAATAAAATTATTGTACGCAACTACTAAAACTAGCGTTGGCTCTCAGAAGCTTTTTAACTATTAAATCAATAAAGGAATATAATGCCAATGAGAGCCGACACAGTTGTACGTATGTAATAAAATATAATTTTTATGTCGATCACCAATTACAGACGTTTCGATCACATGATTCAGTCATTCTCAGTGTATCAATATCATTTTTATTTTCGGAGTCAATTAGAATCATTGTAACAATGATAGAGCAAATACCATTAATGAATCATTGTTAGACTGTTGTCCAGATTTAAAAACTTCATAGTCGTCTGTTGTACTTAGCTGAATTCCCAAACAAAAATTCCGTCATTTAGCTAAAAATGTGTTAACAATTGAAAGTATTTAGCAACGCTATTTGTTGCGTATCAAGGCTGTTATGTCATGCATGACGATACGCGGTATATTTGGTACGGCGGCATTTGACACAAGGCACACATGTAATTATAGACTAAGGGTGGAGTCCCATGAAGCGTGTTTGCCGCGTATCGCGTAACCGCGTAACCAATCAATAATCAGTAAAACGCGAAACCACAACAGCGGATCGCTTCTGATTGGTTACGCGGTTACGTGATACGCGGTAAATACACCTCATGGGACTCCAGCCTGACAAATATTAATCATCGGCAACAACAAAGAAAAATGGGTTTCCGGCGCCGGACTGTCGCGAAGGGATTTCTCGTGCGTTCGTGCTTCCTAGCAGCGTAATCCGCGAACGACCAATTAGGATCTGTTTTCGGATGGGGGTGCGATCCCTACCATCGCGTCGTGATTGTTACACCGGTGCCCGTCGTTTAATCGCGACCGTTGTATAACACGCTTCAGAATCATTTTTCTCTCCACGTAGCCGTGTCATTCGAGCCGATCGCGACTCAAGAGATATTCTCTCTAGGCGTCGTCGCGAGTTCCGTACCAAACTTAAATATTTGGGCAACAGCCCTTAAACGTCTTCATTGATCAACTCAGGGCATTAGCTCCTAGGCGTCGTCGATATCAGTGAATCGAATTTTATGCGAACGAACGATACTCGTCGTAATACGTTGCGTCGTGATAATACGAACGATACTCGTCGTAACACTTTGCGGCATATTAATGCGAACAGTTCAATGTAATGCGTAATAAAGAAATTACTTGTGATACCAAACAATAAATACGAAAAGACAGTGCAAGAATAATTCGTTATTAAATTGTGCTGAATCCTATGGAACACTATTGATAGTCAATGCGATAATAAAATTAATTATATCAATTAAAAAAACCTTACTCTGTGACTTAGCATAACGATGATTCGTTATAAATTCGATGTAATTATAACTATGTCTCTTGATAGCGTGTTTTATTTAGTGATTTTTCGGTTTATATTAGTAATTTATTTAGTTATTTTGTTTGATAAGTTATAATTTTGTTTTGTCAATTTTCATGTTGGTATGTATTCTTTGTAACATTTATACTTATAAACAATGCGAACACGAAATGTCCTCTCACACGTTTTCAAGGCTAGTTATAATCACATCGAATTTATAACGCGTCATCGTTATGCTGAGTCACAGAGTAAGGTTTTTCTAATTAATATAATTAATTTTAATACATTGACTATCAACAGCGTCGTTAAAAATTTTCAATTATTAACACAATTTTAGCTAAATGACAAAATTTTTGTTTGGATATTCAGCTAACTTAAGTACAACAGACTATGAAATTTTTGAATTTAGACAACAGCCTAACAATGATTCAATGGCATTTGCTCTATCTTTGTTACAACGATTTTAATTGACTCCGAAAAACGATATTGATATATTGAGGATGACCGAATCATGTGGCCGAAACGTCTGTAATTGGTAATTAACATAAATATTATATATTTTATTACACATGTACAACTACATCGGCTCTCATTAGGATTATATTCCTTTATTGATTTAATCTTTGGAGCCTTTTTCAATTTTTAATTGTTTTTAACTATTATTGATTTATATCATTAGAGCTTATACTTCTTTGATTGCTTAGCTTTCTACTCGCATGCATTGATAAAGAGTTTAAAATAAAGGCACAATGTATCGTCTCGAACAGAAGTGTCGCGTCGCGAACAAACCGCTTCGAATGAGCCGTCGCTGCATCTAAATACGGAATGATATTGGGAACAAGAGAACGAAGAGACACGCGGAAAAGGAAGACAGGCGTTATGCAAAATGAAAGAACCAGCCGGTTGGGGAATGAAAAAAGAGAAAATCGAGGGACATCTACGAAGATAGCGGTATATAGACGTCGCTGTAAAAAGGAGAAAAAAGGGGGTTAAAGAGGGAAAGGTAGTTACGGTTAGATCATAATAAAGATTACCGTTAACAATAACGAAAACGCTAACTTTTCGCGTTAGACTTATTTAACAAATATCGATTATAATTAATTAATTAAGTACATATTTAACTTGTGAGTTTTTTCTTAGGCCTTTTTTTAATGCCAAATTAAATGAGAAGAGATCAAGAATCGATTTCGACTTACGACTTAGCGGTCTAACAACACTAAGAGGATTTTTTTAAGAGAAATACGATTTTAACGATTACATTAAATACATGATTAGCTATAAAGTAATATATAGGTATATCAGATCTTAAATAATGACAAGTATTTTATGGCACGTGTACATTTTATTTTTTTCGTAATATGTACGTATAAATCAAACTTAAAATCGATGTACTTTCTTACAAATGATAGCTTTGCGCGCACGTATTTAGTTATTGTCTGAAAGTATAGCGATATGCTTATCGGCGCAGAGAGTGAAACTGCTCATAACAGGTTCATGTTGTATCTAATGCTTATACACGTCTATGAAGATTCGTACATAATACGTGTTCGTATACGGGTATAAATGAAACTTAAACTCGATGTATTCTTTTACAAATTGAATATGTAACTTTACGCGCACGTGTAATTATTGTCTGAAAGTACAGTGATATTAATAACGCGCAGAATGAAATTTCTCATCTGGTTCTAACGGTTCGCGTATAAAACGTTATACGTGCTTAAAAAGATTTGTACGTTTTGCACATTTCTACAATAGAGTAGTGAGTTTTAAGAGTACAATTGAATGAATAATTGATCAATTTCTTACAGCTACTACTCTATTGATCTATCATCACATAATTCTGTATGCACGTAAAATCAAACTCAGAACGACGTACAAATGACCTATGATAGTTTTGCGCGCACACTGCAGATCCAAGTGTGCAAGAAGTGAATACAATATATGTGTATGATTACTTTAATGTAAAAATGACACTAAATATTACACGTTTAAATGTTTAAATTCGTTTTTTTATATCGAACAATGTTTAAATCCATATTTTAATCCGATCACACACATATATTGTAGTAACTTTTTACATTACATGTTTAATTATTATCCAAAAATATAACCTGTTTGACACATGGAAATAGTCGTAGAACAGGTTCACGTAATTAATAATAATGCTCGAACGTACCTATAAAGATATGTATCGCGATGTGTCTGTACGACAAAAGGATATTGGACAAGCTATTTTCTCCATAGCCAGTAATCCTGACTTTTGCATAGTTTTGATGGAGCAAGTCCAGTTCCACAAGGTACCTCGTCTCGGCAAGTTTCGAAACATAAGATACAAGTCGTAGCTCATCGCGCGGTGCCAAAATTCTTTCGCCATCCAAGACAGCAACTGAATAGGAATACAAATTATTCCTCGTATGAAGAATGCGCAACTCCGATTTATAAACCCAAATAGCATGGAACAGTTTAATAATATTACAAGCAACGTTGTAACCATGGTGGAAATATATAAGGTGAAACATTACGCATAATGACGGTAGCAATATTGGAAATAGCCAATCAAATATGTATGAATATGCACTTTCCTACCTATAATAGTGCAGGTTATACTGGAATAGCCAATATATGTCCGAATATGCACTTTCTTACTAAACACCCATCAGATTGCTTCACCTTATATATTTCTACCATGGTTGTAGCCTTGATGCAATGGTGGTTGGTAGATCATCTCGGAAACGCGTGATTCTTTTTCCTCATGTAAATGTAATGAATTGGCTCCAGAAAAGCGAGTCAAGTTTGTTCTATGAATCTCTTCAATTAGTATAAGATTCTCTTCTCAGAATCTCTTCAATTAATACGAGTAATAGATTCTCCTTCGTAGATTAGTTTTCGCTGTAGATATCGCGATCGCGTTATTTTCGATCGTTACTTTCATCCAACACATTGTAATAACATAAAGAAAAAAAATACACATTCAATTCTTAATCGCATCATAGATTAAATCAAACGCGAAAAATCTTACATCCTGCTGGAGAATGTCCTCAGAAACAAATTCATCTCAATCAATTATCCAAAATGTACGAACTGATAGGAAGCGAATTCTTTATCGAGTTTACATCAATCCGAGTTCTGCAATAGGGCGATCATGCGTTTTCTACACATGTACAAATCATTTCCTACCGGCAGAACGTAGATACTCCTTTTGCGTTTAATTATTAATCTATGATTCATTACAAATGCTAAATTACAAATATTTGGTAGATATTGAAAGTTAAATTATGAATATTTTTTTCACATATATTTTACAGTACGTTGAAAATGAAAAGAACGTGCGATTGTAATATCTATAGCGAAGATTATATCTTAACGCTAATTGAAGAGATTCAGAAAACGGGACCGATCGACTCGCTTTCCTTAGATTTTGATAATTGATATTGTACTTACTTAGTGAAAAAAAATTCCCAAGATCTTCTGAAGTCTTTTTGAATCGGAATTGCGTGAACTCTTTGCATATTAAAAGGATACTCTCTAAAACTTTTAAAATAAATCTCATTTGTACGAAATGAAATCTCATTTTAAAAAATTTAATTAAAAATTGAGTCACTCTTTTTTAAGACTGGTTAAATTTTTATATTTTAGAGTGAGAATTCGTTTCAAAGAATTTAGAGAGTATATACTCTTCTTTTCTTGGATGGCACGTACGCGAGTGTAGAAAACGCGCGACCGTGCTATTACGGAACTTGAATTGACGTGAATTCAGTAAGGTGTTCGTTTCCCTATCGCTTACAGCAAACAGTCCTAATGGTAGTAACTATCAATTAAGAGATGTCCCTTGTGATTTAGGACGTCTCGAGTGAAGGCACAATTTTAGATCGATTTTGTACAATAAAGTAGAACGTTTGTCAGGTCGATCTCTCCTACAATACGATAAATTCTGCAAACGTTCAGTATATAAAGATAATCATGTTCGGATAATCTATGTTTGGAAATCCGAGTGCTCCCATGTATCATTTTATTTTTGTTGTTCGCACCGAATGTTAAACAAGAATAAAATGATATTACTCGGCACTACTCAACTTCCAAATGTGCTTCAATAACAATTTAAAAAATGGAGAGTTTAAGACACTTCACTCGTTGTGTGATTGGCAGTGTAGTATTTTTAAGTCTCTACTTGAAATTTAAGAAATAAATACAATCGAAAAGCCCTTGTAAACGTTCGTAGCGCTACACTTTTGCTAAGAAGAAATCTTCAACTTCACACATCAAAAAATTTGTTATAAATATAAAAATCTTCAGTAAGCCATGATAAGTAAGTGAAATAAACATTGTACTATTATTCACGAACGGTCCCAAGGGCCTTTCGAAGATTAATTTTCGCGGGAACATAAAAATGAATAACAATACCATAATTATCAGTTCAATATCAAGTAGAGCTCGATAGAATTTTAATTCGTATTTCGAATTAAAACTGAATGTCGTAATGAAATTAATTAATGTGCAATAATGTCATTTCGTAATCACTTACGTTACACTATTATGTGCAGAGTATAAACAGACAACCTGAGTACCCGAATTATGGCACATATGCGATATTTCTCAAAATTTTTCACTTATTCCCCTCCATATGCTTTAGCGTGTAACGTCAGTGATTATAAGATAGTACTATTTTAAATATATAGGAGAATCGAGACAGAAATATTTGATTTATCACTATAATAACAAGATAGTATCGTATTAAAATAAACTTCAGTTGTACATTTAACAACTTTGTCCATGAACACCTGTTTATGCCACATTATGGTCTCTTCATAATGTAATTCTTGTAACGCAGCGGAAAATCTTAATTTACATGGCAATTCGCACACGAATATACACACACATGTAACGAATCTCACGCGTATAATATACTCGCAGTTTTTTAAAGCGGATTTGTCGCCTAATCGTCTCTCGTAACATTTACAGACAAAAATTGCTACGTCATACTGTCTAAGAGTCTATCGCGATTAACACAATTTAATTAGTACTATACTTACATAATAGTTAGCACTAACAAAATATAACAATAGTCTTTGGCTCGTACGCTCTTCTCTTGTTTCCATACAAGAGAATGCGTATTTTCAGACGTATTACTTCTATACTTACACTATGTAAGAGGTTTATCCACCTGTTATTTCAATTTAATTGTTTTACTTTGTCGATCAACTTAAAACAATGAGACGAGTAGTGATCTCGAGAGCTCGATTTGTGCGAAAATGCATTATCCTGATAAATATTTCGTTCGCGTTTATTAAACATAAATGCGATTCGCGAAGGTAATAGAAAACATTTTCAATACTTAAAAGTTTCTGAAACATAATGAAATTCAAGAATGACGTGAACAGAAATAGAATAATCAAGATAATATGAAAACTGTAAAATGAGTATAGAATACCAAAATTATATGTAAAATAATGGTACATACAATCGAGTTTCATAGACATCATGTAAATGTCATTGTATTCGTTTCTGCTGTAAAATTCTCTTCCCAAAAAATTAGAAATTATTATGTTTCTGCTTATCAGATAAATTCTTAACTATTTGACAACTGATGTTATTTCATAATATTAAGGGAAGATATTAGTCTAGGTGCTGAAAAAATAAGGTATTTTTAAAAATGTATTTTACAGAAAACTTTCCAACGTTTTAAAATTTTTTATATATAATATATATTTTACGAATATTTCTAAATTTTTGCGTCCATTTTGGATTTCTTCTCTTTATTATGGTTCAATCATAGACTTCTATAGGAGTGTTCGAATTCCTATCTGGGTGTTCCCAGGGTGTCACCATTTCATTCTTATTTAACATTTGATAAGGGAAGTTCCCGAATACAACTTCTGATAGCTTCTTTGTTATGTCTATTTCCTCTATATTTTCTTACAATGCTTATAATGTGTGAGCGTAAAAATGGGACGCACTTGTATTACCGACTGTCGACTTTCATGTGATAGAACCGAACCTGAGTCTGAGCTGTTCTTGTTTAGTTTATGTATGCATATGTATGCGTTCTGTCTGCGAGTATATCATGTGATAATGTTGTGAATTGTTAGTGATTTTGTCTCTATTGTTTGTGTGATTTATATATGTGAGAATACATCAATTTGAAGGAGCTGTCCAGCAAGCCTATTCTGTAACTTTCATTGTCATTGGGTTCGAGACGACAAAGCGACTAGGCATGCTTACCAAACGAATCAGCATGACTGATTTTTACTGGAGATCCTTTAATCAGACATTGACCATGAGGATTTCAAATTTTTCCAAGCGAGAAAGAAATATAGACTATCTCACTCCTCCAATAACGGTGTGCATGCATCATGTATGGATCTCTAGTTTTTTGTTGTCCAACCTGTGGTACAACCAATCATGTTTGGCAAGCAGACTAAGGGTGGGATTTCATTTGTGCGTTTTGGTCGTACGACAAATTTTTGAAGCCTTTTGATTGGCAATAGATTCGAGGACCTCTCTGTCCTGCATGCATTTGTCGTACGACCAAAATGAAGTCCCATCCCTAGTCACTTTACGAAACTTGCGTTAAGAATTACAGAATAGGGATGTTATTTTATTTGTGCGTTTTTGTCATATGACAATTTAGAGTTGCGAGTAATTTCTTACATGTATAATACGTATGTATAATATGTATAATACGTATAAAACGTACGTATAATACATAAATATGTAGTATTATACATATAAAAACCATGTATAATAACATTATGTTTAATACATCCCAACCCTGCGTACGACAAATGTGTGCAGGACAGAGAGGTCTCCAGATCTCTCTATTCTATAACCAATCAAAAGGCTTGAAAAATTTATCGTAAAACAAAAACGCATAAATAAAATCCTATCTTGCATATTGAATGAATCACCATTGTGTTCGTGAAAATAAGCGTTTTCAAGACTTCGCGTCGACAGGTCACGATATGCGATGTGCTGTTGAATGATGGGCGATACTAGATGCTCACGGCCTGCAGGGACTGCCTTCAAACATAGAGAAATCGGCAATATCGACTGCGATAGATAAAAGTCTGTAGGTTCAACCCATAATAATCTGTGACGAATTCCAAAATGGAATCCTAAAACACTTACAGGCACATTTATTGGACCATAATGGCGAGAGTATGAGGAAATTCAATACAAGCACAAATATTAAGAGATATTCATATAAAATATATATTAAATATACATGTTCCAAAATTTTTGAATTTTTTACACATAAAAGATATATATTTAATATGTATTTAGCATGAAAAAAAAAATATAAGCCTTTTCTTAATGTTTGCGTCTATATATTATATTTCTTCTTTCATTCGCTATTATGGTCCAATGTTTCCTTTAAAACATTCCTAAAACGCCTAATTTTTTCAACTCTTAGAGAAAGGACCCTTTAATGGTAACAATGAGATCAACATGACGATAATGACTGATGATTGCGTTGATATAACTGTAACAATTTCTAAAAAGTGTAATAATTTGCTAGGTTTTTGAAAGGAACTTTTGTCTTTTATTTACCTTTTACATCGTCGTCAAATCCATTGAGCCGCGATTATCAATAGTAACGATAATTACGATACCGTTGTATCTCTCGAGTGTAAAGGTTCTTCCATTGATGGAAGAGAAGACGGAACAGAAGACGAAGGTGACGAATATGGGGAAGACGTTGAAAGACGAGACTCTGGTGAAGGCGTGTTGGGTAAAGAAATTGCATATGGTAAATTAACCGCAAGTTCGACGAGCATATTGAATGAGTCACCATTATGTTCGTGAAAATAAGCATTTTCAAGGCTTCGCGTCGACAGGCCACGATATGCGATATGCTGTTGAACAACGGGCGATACTAGATGCTCACGGGGTGCGCTCCAGTATGCAGCAGGTTCTTCTTGGGCAGAACTCTCAGAATTGTCCATATTGGATGAAGGATTAGGCCTACAAAAAAAAAAAACACTATCTTTAATTTATTTTTCTTAAAATTTGACGTCTATATCATTTTTCATAACGCTAGGGTATAGTGTTAGATGCGCGCGAAAATCAGCGAATATTCTCAACCACCGAAAAATGCGTGTTTGGAAACGCTCGACTTTCATATATACGACCCTTTTTCCTTATTTTCTTTTTGATTGAATTTATCTTTTTTCAATTATTTATCTTATTATGTCAGAGAAAATGGCGATCGCGCTTAGCGAATGTGTTGAAAGCTCAAAAAAAAAAAAAAATGTTAGAAGGCATTTTAGCAAACTTACAACAGTTGCAAAGCTCCCGCTTATTTTTTATACTGGACGCAACTGTTGTATCAATTAAAAACTTGCCTTCGTCGAGCATACGGATGAGAAATAGCGTCGCCATCTAATTGCTCGACTTGAGCTTCAGCGTAAGGACGAACGATTACGTTGGGCCATCGTATCAAAGGATGCTCCTCCTCGCTGTGGTAGTCGTTCAAACTGCTCTCGTAATCGTTCGGACAGTCCTCGCTTCTGCGTACGCAAATCTTGAATGATACATCTAATATTTTCACACATCTAATCTATTCTCCCTCTTTATTTTCTTAATTTTCCCAAAAAAGGAAACTTCGCCATTGTTAGCATATTAGCAGATTAGCAAATTAGATGATAAGCAAATTAGTTGATAAGCAAATCTCTTATCGAGCTTTTTCGTATAAGTAGGTCGGTGTTGTTGAGTCGATGAAATTCTTCGTTATTAATTATCGAGAGGATAATAGTTGAGATGCAGAAAGAGATACTTACCGATATGTGGGCTCTTCCAATCCACGTTGCGGAAAATTTACGTTGCATTGTGCTGGTGGATCGTCTTCAATCGGTTCGAGAGGAGTTCTTCGACCATGCCGAAGGGGACTGCTAGAGTTTACGCGACGAGTACGACGTGATATTGTGTAACGGTTTGGATCTTCACCAGCCTCTTTCAAAATTCCAGGGAGAATGCGTCGCCTAGCATTTATAAACCAGTTACACACCTGCAAAATTCAATAATTATTAGCAAATCAATGCAAACTGGGGGATAATCAACAAAAATCAGCTTGAACTATTATAATCGCACATTAATAAATCAATTATTGTTGCCTATCTAAAAGACTGAGGTCTGGTTTTTCATTCATCTACATTTTAACGGCTAACGCCATTTCACTCTAATGGAAATCCTTACGAGGAATGCACAAATGACAAGCGTTGGACCCATGGTGGGCAACCAAAGGGTCGTAGACACGACCTGCCCCTACAGAATACCGCTGTGTGCCCTCAATTATCTTTACACGCCTACATCCACGCCTTACGCGGTATAGACAGACAATGGCCGGTATTCATAGTCAGTTCTTATTTTAAGACCGTCTTAAGTAATGTCTTCAGTCGCTAATGCGGCCCTCTGATTGGTTTATAACATCTTAAGATTGTACTTAAGACGTTCTTAAATATAAGATCTGACTATGAATACCGGCCAATGTCGCAACAATTGAAGAAAATACGATGCTTGTCGCGCGGGAAAATGTGAAACAGTACTTGAATGCGCATTTTAGGACCTGTAAGCTTATTTGCTACCGCATCACATATAAAGTGCATTCGAGGAAACGTTATTAACGCTATTTGTGTCATTCTAACTTTGTTTTACATCTAATAAACAACGAAGATAGAATGACAAAAGTAGCGCTAATAGTAGGGGAGGCCAAGCGGGGATTTTGGGATTTACTCGAGCGCGTCAGAATAACATAAAGGGGGAAAGCTTGCACCCTAATAAGTACCCCCACCACATATTAAACCTCTATATAGAGCCGGGGGTCCAGGGGAGCCCGTCAGATTAGTAAAAAAAAAAATCGATCGTTCGAAAAACTCGAGCGCGTCAGATTAAGGTATGGTGTGTTAATTACATGTAGAAAAGTGTACATTTCAATAATCTGACGATTTCAGAGTGACGTAAGGAAATGGGAGTCACAAAGTTGCAAAAAAAAAAACGTGACATGGATTTCTTGACCCCTTCCTACAGCTAACCCCACCACGCAAACCGTCAGATTAATATTTATCCGTTATCAGAAACACATGGGTCGCTTACACTATTAATATCTGACACGCTCGAGTACTTCATTGTCACTGTTATTTTTGAAAGCCTGTACACGCTCCCCCCACCACTGAAACGGCATACATCATATAAC